CATACCAAGAGCGGGCGGATAAACCAGGTGCAAAGCGCCTTTAGGCTCTACCAAGAGAAAAGAGATGACTTGGTGAAGCTACATGCCTACACCGCTCACGCGCCAAAACGACTCATGTACCAAGACATTTGCGAGCTAGCCTTGTCCAAGAAAACCGCTTTCATTCTCTTACCATATCAGCGAGAGCGTCTTGAAGACGCTGCGCCTACCGAACTACGTGACTCCGGTATGCTATCCGTGAACGCCGACCTCTTGGAACACGCACCGTGTTCCGTCTGTATCTATCACGACAAAGGATGGCTTAGAAACGCCGCGGTTCGGTCCTCGGTCGACCAGCAACATCCCAACCACTCAAGCCTTATGAGGCAAGAAACGTATCGTTTTGTTGTTCTGTTCCTAGGAGGATCTGATAATAGAGAAGCTCTGCATCTAGCCGATAGAATGACGGCGAACCCGGACATAACCTTAACCGTGATCCGATTCTTATCGCATAACCACGAAGGAGAGGATGAGAGGGAGAAGAAGTTAGACGATGGGGTAGTGACTTGGTTTTGGGTCAAGAACGAAAGCAACGAGAGGGTTAATTATAAGGAAGTTGTGGTCAAGAACGGCGCGGAGACGCTAGCCGCGATCCAGGCGATGAACGTTAACGACTATGATCTTTGGATAACCGGAAGAAGAGAAGGGATTAATCCAAAGATTATAGAAGGATTGTCCACGTGGAGCGAAGACCACCAGCTCGGCGTCATTGGAGACACCGTGGCTGGGAGCGTATTCGCCTCGGAAGGTTCGGTATTGGTGGTGCAGCAACAGGTTAGGAATCAGAAAGGTGGTGATGGTTTCTTGAATGGCAAGTTTGATTACAAGAGTTTAGTGTCTCCTTGGACATGTCATAATACTTGATTAATTAGTTTGGTTTTTTTTTTTTTTAAATTGATTAGGTTTTTCTCTTTTAATTTGGTTAAATTCGAGTTGTACAATCTGTATCATTGGGATGGATTGCTTTTAAATTTGTTATACGAGCTAATAAATTCCAATATAGAAGTAGCTTTTAAATCAGATGATCAAATATTTCATTTTACTTCTCTTCTGCCACCTAAAAAGTGATTGATAGCAAAACTTGTCTAGCAGAAGCATTAGAAGCTCGTAAAGCCAGCACCCAAATCCCTCCTTGGCTCTTGCAGGAGGTAATATAATGAACTCTTTGTTACCATTGGAGTTTCTAACAAAGACTGAATAGTTTCTTTTAGGCGAATTTGGAATCTTTACCTACTTGAAAGCAGTAGTTGGACCACCGAACTCGTCTTCTCGGCGCCATTTCTGCAAAGTTTGTGGATACATTGCAGGTTACAAGTGCTGCTTATGTGGTATGCGCTTTGGTTCCATCCGTTGCCAAAACATTCACAAGGATACTCATTGTCAGAAATTTCTTACTTATCCGGAACAAGCCTCTCAAATAACAAGTTCCACATCCGTGGGAGCTCAAGGCTCCAAGTATATTCCAAAACACCGCAACACAACCAGATCTGAACCGATAACAGTAAGACCAGTAGCCGTGAGAAGATGTTTTGATGTAGATCAATGGGATCACAATTCACAAAGATCTCAGACTTTCGAGGTTAGACTTTTCACTCCTTTCTCCATCAACCTTGTCCGCAAATCTTGAGGTCTCCTCCAGACCCAATCCCCATTGGTTTCAGCACTCTCCTTTAATGCAACACTGAATAGAGAGACACTAATTGGTGGACAAGTGAATTCACCTTCTGGCTCATGAATACTATGAGAGTCAATGTACTTCTTAAGTAGCCAGAAGCAACAATTTTCCCCCACTCTTATCACATGATAGAACCTGTCACTAGTGGTGGCCAAGTCCATTGCTCCAAACAAAAACATGGATTTATCAAGAATCTGAAAACTTTAGGCCAAAGATGCATCCACAACAACAGTAATATGTAGTTCTGCTTTGTAATCTGAAGAACAAAAATATATGATCATTTATATAAAGAACTGGAATATATAGTTCTACAACATTGGCTGGTTTTTTGAATTTTCCAGAGCCTGAAGAAGAATCATCCATCCAGGGTTTTATTGTTCCTCAACATTTGATAAAAACAAAAATAATTTCCGACAAAAGGGCTTTTACCTTTCAATCTTTCTTTTATTTGTTTAAACCCTAAAGGCAAACAAAAGAGTTCTTCATAAGATAAAACACCAAGTGCTTACCTCTTTCTTTTAAATTAACTTGTTTCAGAATCCTCCTCAAGGTACTGAGAGTGTGAGGCAGCCAGTAATGCGGCTCCAACTCCAGACCCGTCATTTGAATGAATCACTTCGACGCTCTCTGATGCTTCATCTCCGAGTAACTCTTTCAATGAGCTCTCCATACACTCACTGAACTGAGTGTAGTGTTCGAACAACCCACCGTCCATGGCTATCACCGATTTCTGAGTTTCCCCTTCTTTTGTTGCGTCTCTTCCCAATTTCTTCAGGATTCCGTAGATCCCTGCAGCAGATAGACGAGCTCCTCGGCTAGCGATGATGTTACAGAGACTGATCACTACTTTTCTCATCTTCAGAGAAGTCGTAGGGACCTGAGAGATCACCAATTCAAGAAACTTCGTTCAGACTTCATCATCCGTTAGTGTGACTCAATATTATGCATATAATACAAGAGAATCTAACCTCCAATATGTCCTTTAACTTGCTTCCAACAACCTTCAAATCCGGAGAAGTATCGCTGTGCATAGCAGACATGTGTGGGGTCCTGCATACAGTAAAGTGGTTATTAGACTTCTGATTCAATGCAAGTAACGGTCGTCTTTTTCGGAATAACTGTGCAAAAGAAGTTAGCTAGTCAACCTTATGATGAATGGTATTCTCAGCTTCGGTGGGATGGTGTCGCCAAAGAAATCAGCTTCTTCAGCCATCTTCAGAAGAACTCTACGCAAGATTTCTCCCAAATACATACCGGAAATTATTTTCTCTAGAATCTGAGAAAAGCCAGATAGCATCTTCGTGAGCGCCACCGATAGTACTCTAAACAAACTTGAATTCAGCAGAATTTCAAAGCTCATACCTGTTCACCTGGATTCAGACTCTCGAAATCTAGTGAGTGGTCAAACTCTGTCAATGGAAGATGTGATGACCTAAAGTTTCCCCACTCCATGTTGATCACCTGCATTGTAGTACATACTAAGAATCAAGTAGTTCAAAGCTCAATGGACGCTGCTATGTTCTTGCAAAAACCACAAACCATTTCTCCAGATTTGGGAAGTAGGCCGTGCCATTTTGGAATTGCATGTGCACGTTCGACATACGCTGCATTTGTGCCGGTGCCTAAAATAACTGCGGCAACAACATCTGGGTTATAGTATCTACCACCAGCAAGTGTTCCAACAGTGTCATTGACCTGTACCGTTTACAAAGGGATTCAAGAATCATTAACAATTAGATTACACAAATCGATTTATCTAGGTGAGAAAAAAAAAGAGTTTTTTGTTCCTTTGGGTTAAGATGAAAAACTCACAAGAGCTGTGACATTCATGTCAAGTCCAACTCTTTCCATAGCTTTAATAAGCTCTCCGACAACATCTTGTCCAACCTACACAACCGTACCGAAACAGAGTTTAGCAAGAGCACCATCATTTATAGAGAGTTTGCCTTCAAAACGACAAACCGAAGACTGTAATTTTTTCGTCTACCGGGCTATATCAAGAACAGGGTTCACAGAATTGACAGAGCTATGTCTGTAATAAATTTGAAATAAATGGAAGGGTAATCAAGCGCAACTGTATCTTCAATGGAAAAGCCTTTTGTCCACTTGATGAGAGTGCCAGAGGACAAAGATGTCTGCCTAACCGGAAAAMAGAAGGTGAAACCTAATTCCCTTTGTCTACCCTCTTGGAGATGAAAGTCCTCGTCTTCTGTAGCGACGAACTTTGCAAGCGCTTCAGCGATAAAATCGAATAACTCCTGGCTCCACAATTAAAAAAAAACCATAATCAATACACAAATATATATATATAGATCAACCAACACTCAATATAAAATTAAGGGAAAAGCTCTCGTCAGAAAACTGACATTTGAACCCCCGGTCATCAAATGAGGAGGAATTGAGACTTCTTCGAACTCTTGTTTAACAACACGGTCTTGTTTCCCACCAAGAAGCACACGCATGACACGGAAGTTTGTTCCGCCTAGGTCCAGTGCATAAAAGAAACCCTTCTCATCCCTGTCAAAATCGATAATGAAGATTAGATACACTTACAACTCATGTTTATCGTGTCATCAGCATCAGAACAACCCCAAAACAAACAACTCCCAGTGAAACTAAACTCATGATTCACCCTAAGACACCACGTTGAACAACAGGCTTGACAGAACAAAGATTGATACTTTTTTTAGGATATGCAGATGAAGCTAAACCAGAGAACCTAGGAACAGAACACAGACAAAGAAAAAGCAGACAAAAAGGGTAAAAGAACAATCAAACAAACAGTGAGACATCAAAATCTATCAACCAAACTATGTAGCAGTTAAAAAGAAACAAATTAGCAGATTCTCCAATGAAAAGAATCTACACACTCTAATGACTCTTAACCCTACAGTGTCATGATTATGAGACTCAATTCAAGAGATTATGATTCAAGAGTAACGAATCTGT